AAAGCGACTAAACACTTCCTTGCAAATGATACTTTCCATCATCACAGACCGGGGGTGAGTATTTGTTGATTATATATATATAGGAAGGGCCAATTTGTTGCAATTGATTTTTATTATTTCTTTTAGTCTCCATGCGAAAGCGCTCCTTGTAAAAACAGTGCGAGCTGTGTTACTGAATATGTACTGAACTCCTATCACTGTGACTGTGAACCTGGATTTTTCGGAACTCACTGCGAACGAGGAGGTATTTTGGAAATTCATCTTTTTTCCTGATGCCAAAGCTAAACTAAAACGTTGTTCTTGGAAATATTTAATTTGCTATTTAAAACCTGAAAAGGAAATAATTTCTTGCATGGAGGCGACCCGCGCTTTAGATTCACCATACCTGAATTTGTTTACTAGATGGTTGCGTAGCGTTGTGTTGAAAAGTCTGAAAGCTGTCAAACAAAAATTTCCGTTAAAAAAAAAATTGTGGGGAAATATTGAGATAAGGAGAATGATCAGACCTGGCGTGAAGTCAGAAAATTCAGTTTTCCCTCTCCGGCTGCAACGCGTTTCAAACTCGAACAAGCAACAAATATGCAGCGCAGCTGAGCATGGTCCCAGATGGACTAAATGCACGTAAGTCACAAATTTTCACAGAACTGCAACAGAGAAACTTCTTAAGAATGCCAGGTGTCGGTCAATATTTTTAACCGCTGGACATTTAGTCTATTCGAGACCATGCCCGGCAGTCTGGTCAAAAGCGTATAATTTAAGTGTTGATAACCGAGCGATATTATAGGATGGACAAGCTCGGAGAATTCGTCCACTAAAAAAGCAAATTAGTTTTTGGAATTGTTTGACATTTCTTAAGAAATATCTGATTTGCATAAGAAGTTTGAAAGAGCCTTTCGATAGAAATTCTGTGAAAAATGGTGACCGTCGAGCACTTAGTCTATTTGAGAACGCGCCCGGCTGCTAGGCCATTCACCTCAACTCGAAAGCTCATTTAGTCGCTTTTACGGCATAAATGTTGATTGTTTTCCAGCAAGCACGAGTTCGATTTCAAATCACATGATCTCGGACCAAAATTGCACGACACGAAGTTCAATGTATACTTATTGCATCCCCACCCATCCCCTAAGGAAAAGTATGGCGAGAAGAATGGAAACCAGCCAAACGAAAGCACAATAAAGCTTAGCTGCCTTTGTACTTGGAAGTACTTTTCTGTACAGGGTGGGTTTTACGACTTTGATGTAAATATCGAGGTAAAGGCCAAAATGGACAAATTTGATCCTGTCACGTTGCACCACTTTTAGCTGAAGATCCAAGTTTCCGCAGACAGGCTCGTTATCCAGAATGGCATGTATATTGTTGCCATAGCAATGTCAATCAATGCTACGCCATGAATAAACGTATTTATTTCAGTTCTGGAGCAACCAACAGAGAAATGCAGAGGTGGCTGAAACATGTTCTTTCCTTAATGAACATGAACTAAAATTTTAATAATAAACTTTTAAAAAAATACCTCTAACACATAAAATAAATAATTGACAGTGTTTGTGCAAAGAACGTTAAGTGTGCTAGATCTACAAATAATCAAATCGTTTGGAGGAGCCAACCTACAATTCAGATCTTAGGGAACTCATGTTGTGGGGTGACAAGATGAACTAAATTTTGCTGCAGTTACACTGCACGATTACTAGTCACGTTTCCATCACACACTCGGGGTATCCGCCGAAGTTTCGATTCGCTATAAGCTTGTCCACGACACCTATGTTTTTGCCTATCCCTTTTGCTGCAAATGAAAAAGTGGCTCCGAAGTAGAACAAATGCGCATAAAATGAAAACACCAATTTTAACATTTCAAAAACCTGTGGGCGTTCGCCGCTTTTTGAAATAACATTTAAACATTCGGAAAAAAAGGAATGGAAAATATATTAGATACTTATCGTTAAATCCGTTTTGATAATCATGCACCGTCCCAATATGAATATATGCGATCTGATTGGCTTCGTGATACTTTCCCCCTTTTCAACAAATCGTGGGATTTTTCAAATGTGGTTTACGGAAATTTTTGTTGTTATTGTTCATTTGAAATGGTCAGAAGATGTTTAAATATGTAGCAGATTATAAACGCATCAAATTAATTTAAAAAATTTTTTTTTCTTTTCTGTAGAAACTCATATGATAATAATGTCGAAGAATGAAACAGTATTGGTTTACAAAGAAAAAAAAATTAAGGTCATCATATGATGACCTTCATTTTAGCATTTAGAGTTTCCGTCTCCAATTTTTTTTTTGTTTTGCTTTTGATGAAGCCGAGTAGAGAGTTTAGATGAATTTTGTGTGATTTGTATAGTCATAAGAAAAAAAAGTAGAATATAGATTAGGCTAACTGGGAAATATTTCCAGACAAAAAATATGTAGGTGAGACCATATACTCCTTTTCATGGATAAATCCGACCTGCTTGTTCTCCTTTCTAATTCACTCATGTAAGTAAGCGGCTTGCTGACGTTTAATACAACTGTAGTTAAACAAAATGTTATTTTTCCTGTCTGAATAACCAAATAAGGATGAGCTATCGAACAAACACGAAAACTGAGCATGAGAGACGCAAAACTCTCTAAATAGAAATGGCGAGGTGAAGGAGTTTGTGGTGTCGCGCTGTTGCTCGGAAGTTTTTTTTATGCATTATTTTAGTGAAAAAAAAAAACCGTACTGCGAAATGATGGTATCCTAAAACTTCGCATGATGCGTTGTTCGTGTTGTTAAGGCTCCTGGGTGCACCTAACTCAAACTAATTATGTTGTTGTGGTCTTTGTTCAGTAGGCCCTTGTACAATAATCGTTGACCCATGTAGTCGTCGTGGGAACTAATTTTAGCTTATCTTGAGGGAAAAAAATTTACAATATGCTAAAGAGGATCTCTGTGTACTCAACATATTAAATGCAAAATCCTCGTAGACCCAAAAGATCAGCAGATAATCGAATTTTCCACAAAGCATGCTAATATGTAGCTTGGCTTTCAGTTTGGTTCTTTTGAAGTGTCCAATTGTGTTTGTAATTAGGCATGCTTGGGTGAAAAGCACAATGGCGGTATTGGCGTTTTGCAAACTCTTCGTGTGACAATGCGGTGTTTTTCTTATCATCTTTATGATGCTGCGGTAGCCAGGAATAATCAATGCCCCCTTCTTTGCGATTTTACGACAACGAGAAAAGGTTAAGGATGGTTGAAATTTCGGCAACAACATTTATCCTCAAAATGTACAGAGAGCCCAAGACTCGTCCCATATCCTGATCTTTTTAGTTACCGTGGTGACGGGATAATTTTAAAAAGCTAATACACCAAAACCCATTTCAAGAAACCGTAATTTCTTTTAATAATAAGCGAGTTTTTTTGCGACATTTTTGGAAATTTCAGCGTTTTTTGATAAAAAGCTTTATAATTATCATGCTAGTTCGTGCTTGGCTTTTCGAAAGGGAATTACTCAAGATGAATATTATACTTTTAAATGGCTAATAATTAAGCGATTTGAGAGAAGCATTAGAGCAAATTGAGATGCCTTTTCTCGTAGTTCGATAGCGCACTAGCATGCTATTATGCAACACCATAAATTTGACAGATTTTTTTTAAACCAAGTACACTTTAATCGATTTGCACGTAGAAAAAAACGCATAATTTTCTTAGCTTCATGGTAACATATGCTAATTAACTTTTACTCCAAATGTTTTCAGTAATACTTCTCTGAGATTGTAATGTTTCGACCGAATTGAACATCTAAGTCTTCTTTCTCCTCAATATGTTTTAAATATCTAAAGCTGCGCTGTGAAAATTGAGTTTTCTGTAAACAATTAAATTGCATGATCAATTGAATATTGATTATAAGAGTGTGAGGTTGTACCTGACAGTTAAGAAACATTTTGTAAACACAATGCTACATTTTCATACTTAATAACTAAATAATAAGCTCCGCTTTTGCATAAAAAGCCGTAGACGCGGCTAGATATTGCACTCACCCGACTTGAGTAATAAAATTAATATTATAATGCAGCGTGAAATCGCCACTTTACTTTTCTTCATTTCTTGCTTAAAAAACAAATTCCATGTTCCGTAAGCATGCGTTGACGCAGAGACTCCGCAAAGCTGACTCTGTAGTTAATGTTAAAGGCGCGTAAAGGGCGTAGATTGGGATGGTTATAGTTTCCGGATCAATATTGAAAGAACTAACAAAATATGTGAAATAGATGTGTCTGATCGGTCATCAATGAATTACCGAGTGATTTTCATGTTTGCGTGAGTATGAGTGGAATGTGGAAAAGATTTGTGATATAATGATTATCGACAGGCCTTTAAAGAAAGTTTCCGGTGTAACACTTTTTACCCGATCCTTCGCGCTGTCTAATACTGAACATTCCACCTGCATGAGATGGCGGAATGTTCAGTTTACCCCCTCCTTCACGCTGTCTTATACTTTAACTGAACATTCCGCCATCTGTTGTTATTCCCAGTTTCCTACCACACCAGAAGACGAAAGCGCAGTTGTTTCTCAACTCTCTCAAAATACACCACAGTGGCTTATTAAGAGTAGATGGGACTTGCTCTAAAATTTTTGGCTTTCAGCAAAATCAATATTCAGAAAACATTGCAACTTGAGCCTTTATTATCTATCTTCAAGTTTGCAGAAGCTTCCATAGCAATTGGTATGATATTACTATGCTAATATAACTACGCGAATAAATATTTCTCCGGACTGAGATTCAGGCAGTTGATGCACCTGCAAGGAAAATGAAAATAAAGACTAATCAGAATTTTTCGGATGTCAGTACTATCCCCGGCTGATGAAAAACTGCAATCCACACTCAGTCACCAGCACTTTTCTGCACGGTAGGCCCCTCCTGTGTATTCGTTCCCATGGGCTCCTTGCTCTTTTCTCCTTTGTTCTCATTACATATCGTGGCGTCACTCAGAGCAAAAACACTCTTAAACGTATACCATTTTCTTTTTTCTCAATCTTTTTTTGTTTTCTTCATCTCTATCATATTTATTCCCCCACGGGAAACAAAGAACTCGCTGAAATTTGATACATTGTTTGATACTATTCTGATTTAAAGATTTAACTGACTGTCACCAAGAGGCTATAATTCTTAGACCCAACGATTCGACACTCCTGTCTAGTGCTTTCATCAGGGGTGAAAGCCTGTATCCCTTAGGACTCCGCACAGGAGGCCGAGATCTCAAACTCGATGGAGCACAATGATTTCATTGCATCGGTGCTTGAAATACAAATGACAGCGGTACCTAGCAATGCGGACTCTGTTGTTCGCGAGCCGGTTGACCCTTGTACCACTAGTTCGATTATAACTTTCTTGCAAATAAGATATATTAAAGTTCACACGGCAACCAGGTGGACAATCGGACATGATTTGGTGCTACTCTGCTTTAAAGATTTAATGAATGTAACCGAGAAGTTACAATTCATAGACCAACGTTTCGACACTCCTGTCTAGTACCTTCATCAGGGGTCCCTGAAATTTGTCTTACCAAGCTCAAAGAAGTTGAGCCTCAATCGTTCTTCGCCACACCCTGGCCAGTACACCAACTGTACTCCCTCCCCAGGCCGTCCACCGTCTGGATGAACACAGTAATTGTTCTTCAAATTCTTCAGGTTATTGTGTGTCGGCAACCTAAAGTGACCAAAACTCTAGGTATGGGAAAACCATTATTCTCCACCAAAAGGGACGTACTTTAACTGGAATATGAATAACTCAAACTAATTTGACGATTTCATCACGTCATTTTCCGAGATATTAACCATACAAAAGAAGTCACGAACTCAAAGGTGTTTTTCCTTGTGCAGCGAAAGATCTGTAAAGAATTGGATGTTGTCTGTATGAAAATGCATGGAATGCTATTTAGGTTTGTAAAGAGAAACGTGCAACTTCCTGATACATATTGGAAAGCAGATGACTTCAAGCGGAGGAGAAAGAATTAGCACGAAAGTAATAGTATAAATAAGGTTAAAATATAAGGCATAAATTGTCATTCTGAATTTCCAGGAGAGGAATAGTATAAACTAGGTTAAAATATGAGGCAAAAATCATGTCATTATGTTGCAGCTTTTACATTTACAACATACCTGACATGTCTTGAAACATTTAGATGGCATTCATCTTTTAACATAAGTTTCTTTCTCTCGGTAGGGTTATTGTCTACGAAAAATAAGAGGGAAATAACACATAAACAAAGTTCGAGTCGCAAAAAACGGATTGTGTATGACGAACTTACGAATCTGGGTTCAATTTCTACAAGAAGTGTAAATCGAGACGAACGATGTTTTTCTCACTTGAAATTTTAATATCTTCTCTCCCTTGAAATGTTGGTACACGTGCAAAGTGATCTATCCCCGAAAAAGGAGAATCTCAATGGGTCAAGCCTGGAAGGGGAATAACACCTCAGGGATGTTGGTGTTAACTGAGAAATGTGAGAGCATTACTCTAAAATTTTGCCGATGATCGAAGCTCGTAAAAAAACAGAAACAAAAACAAAAACGACGACAACTGACTACGAAAATAGTCAATAAGAATTCAGATACCATTCATAAATAATTCCAGAAACAACAAAACATAGGGTACGAAGTAAAGCAAGGAAACTGTTACCCTGTGGACAAACTTCTTTCTTGCTGCACTTGTGATAAATAACTCCATCCTGGTCGAGAATAAAAATCTGATCGGTTGCATTACAAGCCGTGCCTTCCTTTTTTGTGAAGATGAGATAGCTGCCGTCAGGAGGGGAACAACCTCCTTTGTTCGGCGCCACGCAGAAGTCATCGTAACTTCGTATTCCGCTCTCTAAAGAAGCATATCAAACAGTCACTTCAATGTACCTTGGTCAATACGCTATCTAAAAATGCCATCACAGTGTTAACAGTATATGGCGTGATGTTGCAACCATGAAAACAAGATAAAATAAAATGAAGCCATCTGATTTTCACGATGAATGATTGTTTTGTCTTACGTATTCACAAAAAATGTACATGATCAATGGCGGCTTTACCCTTCGAATCAAATTTAACCAACATAACAAAGCTGTGAATAAATGAGATGTCGTCTTCATCTCTTTAATAATTTATTCCCTCACGGGAAACGAAAACCTCACTGAAATTTGCCTTTTAAAAAGAGGCTTCGTAGCTTAGTAGTAACGCCCAACTAAAGCATGCCCAGTTGCACTGCACACTTAGCCACAAAGTTGCTCGTTCGAGTTCGAAACGCGTTGCAGCTGGAAAGGGAAAATTGAATTTTCTGACCTCACGCCAGGTCGGGCTATTCTTTTGATCTAAATATTTCCCCCAAATTTTTTTAACAGAAGTTTTTGTTGACAGCTCCCAGACATCTCAACACAAGGCTACGCAATCATCTAGAAAACAATGACTCAAGTATGGTGAATCTAAAGCGCAGGTCGTCTCCATGCAATAAACTCTTACTTTTTTAGCTTTTTATCAGCATATTGAACATTTAAGTTTAGCTCTGACATCTTATTATGCAAATTCCACAATATACAGCAGAGAAAACGATGACTTTTCAAAATACCTCCTCGTTCGCAGTGAGTTCCGAAAAATCCAGGTTCACAGTCACAGAGATAGGAGTTCAGTTCATAGTCAGTAATACAGCCAGCACTGTTCTTACAAGGAGCGCTTTCGCATGGAGACTGTAAAAAGAAGAAAAATCCCTTTTCAATTGAATTCTTAAATTTACTCTTAAATTGGCCCGTCCTATATTACTCACCCCCGGTCTGTGATGATGGAAAGTATCATTTGCAAGGAAGTGTTTAGCCGCTTTGTACTTGTTAGTAGCCAACAATTCACACAGATGAAGACCTTTGGAGTCAGGATACACTGCTAAGTTCAACGAATAACACTTTGTTTCTTCAACACAACGAAAAATGCACTCTAACTCATTTTCCACCACGACGGATGTAAGTTTTTCAGCCTGTAAGTAGTGAAAGGCATCGCGCCTGAAATTGCCATAAGAAATGTGGCTTGTTGGACTTCGATGAAGAGTGCCAACTTGCATTGCAATCATTAGTTCTAACAAAGAAGGAAAAAACAACCAGACTGGAAGTAGCAGCATGATAGTGACCCTTGGACTGTCACCACTTGAAAGTGTTGTAGTGTAGTGTTTTTTACACGTACCCAAGAATTTTGAACCTTAACGAGATATTGGCTAGTCTCCGGAAAATTGTTTGATGGTTAGAAGAGAAGGCTGCTGAGAATACGGGTTTTGTTTTGTATTTTGCAATTATAATTAGGAATACATGTAACCATATATATTAAAAGAAATACATATATATTTGCATATGTGTGTGTGTGTGTATTCCTCGTATGACATTATGAATAAAATATTTTCCTTTACAAACTCCTCAGAATGAAAAAGCAGGTTCTTTCTTTTGTTTTGAGTTATCTCCCGTTATTATTGCCAAAATTAATATTTATTGAAACGTAAATCGATAATTTTTACTTATCCATAAATGAAACTTTCTTATAGCAGTAACGAAGAGGTTATAAACTGCTTACATTTCTTGAAGTAATTTAGCAGCTAAGGACTTTTTTTAACTATTAAACTAGACACATAACGTCATCACTTCTTCCGTCCATATCCTTTATACCTGTCATTTATAATTAAAGCAACGATGTTTTTCACATAAGTTTTTGGGATCTTTATGATCCTTTATGCATAAGTTTTTCTCGATCACAATGTTGCCTCAAAGCCAAGTACAGAAGAGAAAAAATAACTAAAAAGAAAGGTATTAGAAATAAACCAGACAAAATAATAGAACATACCGAAAATAACAATTCTCACGGTGGCCGGAATGATAATATGCCATTATGAATATGATTCTGGTAATTTGAGCATTGGCTCAAATGACAAACTTATTAGAGGGGTCTTCTTTGGTGGAATTTAAAAATAATTCGAGATATATTTTCTTCGCTATTCGAACTCAAAATATTGCAATAAAAGTTTTGCAAAAGGAGGAAAAGTAATTTACGTCGATGGTAATTACTAACTACCAATTGCGTGCAGTCAAGTGTGGCAGAGCAATTTCGCGTGATGCCTGATGCGATTTTTTTTATTTTTGTTTGTTTATTTTTTTTATTTTTAGGCAGAAAATTAGGATTATATAATTCCAATCATTTATACAAAAGTGAACCTCTTGCGGATGGGAGAAACTCTTGAAACCAGCCAGCAGCTTATTGTCTTCTATGGTCTATACTGTGTGCGATACAAGGATTTCCAGCCCTGAGAAAGCCGTAAAAATAATTGGATACTTTTTCTCGTGTGGTTGATATCGCCAATCAGCTGCTTTCAGGTTGATGACTGAAAGGCAGAGCCTACATCATTCGCAATGCAATAATTTTTTCGGATTAAGACTGATAAAACACTGAAAAATCCATATTGCTTACAGACAGTGACGTTGAAACTTTCCTGGAAGGGAATAAAAAAAGAAAAACCAGAAATTACGTATTCAGTGGCTTTGGTAATGGCATTTCTCGCGGCTGAGAGCGAAAATCGATAAGTGGAAGATTTGCTACAGGCCGATTTTGGCCGTGTACCTGAACGATTTCTTTTCATGGTAAGGACCAAGAGAATTCTGTCTATTGAAAAGTAGGCCCATTGTTCGTTTTTGTAGTGATTCAACGTATGTGTTCATCTTGAGTGCGCCGACGCACTTTCCGATCTTTATGTGGGGATTCTCGATCCTTTTATTTTCATTTATAATGCAGTCGACTTTTCTTGTCAATAAAGGGCTATTGTTTCTACATGATAAAGAAAATAATACATGGTTACTTTTAGATACGGAATTTCTTTTCTCGTGTTCAACTCGACATCTCCCTCGTTCGCTTTGAGATGTCACAAGCGGGGCAAAATTACTCAATGCTGATTGGCTGGGACAGGGAGCATTGTTTTTTAATAACAGGGTCACTTTTGGTAATCGACTCAGGCAATTTTGGGAAAACTTTGCAAATACGCGAGAAAGAAATCCTTAATTGCACTCGGGCCCTGCGATTGCATATAGAAAGCAAGTCTTGACACCACGAACGCCTTATCCAAAAAGCGAAGGCAAAATGGAAAGTAAGTGCAGTGCTGACGTATTGCAAAAGTCAGAGGTGCTGTCAGATTGAATTATGCGCCCGAAAGTGGAACTTTCGTTTCATGCCACGCGCAGTTTTACCTTGGTATGGCCAGTTGACATTTTGAAATACATGTTTAATTTTGCATTTTATTGAAATATTCAAGTTTTGATCTCTGCTTGGATATTTATTAATTAACTTGTGGATCGGGGTAAGTTACACTTGAATTACCAACTTGAGAGTTTCTGCTTTTTAAATTTGTAGAGTCTTTGTAATGCGTAACAGGAAGCCTTCACATCTTGCCAGGAATAATTCAGTTCCTTAGTGGAAAGATCTCAACAATTCTGAA